GAGTTTCATGTTACAGATGCGATTGGACCTTGGATTGTGTGATATCAGATGAGGGTGGTGAATGGCACTCTTATGAATAGCTGTTGATATCTGAGCGCCTTGTGTTATAGCTGCTATCCTTTGGCTGTTTACAAGGTTGGTTCATGTAGAGATCCATGCGAAGATTGCCCTTATATATAACAGTATACCAACTTCTCGCCGTTGTTCAAGACTCTGATGTATTGATCATTCTTGCCAGAACGGTCAGGGTAAGAGAGAGAGGTTTTTTTCAAACGGATCTCATCTTTGTCTAGAATTTTGATGGATTATTAGAGGGGCGGACCATCTTGGAGAGTGGTACATACTCACGAAAGAAGTGAACTTGTGTTTCCTATCAGCTGAGAATTCTTGGAGGCGTTGCAGTAATGATAAACAGTTGGCATTGAAGAAAATGTTTCTCAGACGTGTTCTGTGTCAGTCCTCTGTGTCAGGTCTCTGTGTCAGGCCTGTGTGTCAGGCCTGTGTGTCAGTCGTCTGTGTCAGTCGTCTGTGTCAGGCCTGTGTGTCAGTCGTCTATGTCAGGCCTCTGTGTCAGGCCTCTGTGTCAGTCGTCTGTGTCAGGCCTCTGTGTCAGGCCTGTGTGTCAGTCGTCTGTGTCAGGCCTGTGTGTCAGGCCTCTGTGTCAGTCGTCTGTGTCAGGCCTCTGTGTCAGGCCTCTGTGTCAGTCGTCTGTGTCAGGCCTGTGTGTCAGGCCTCTGTGTCAGGCCTGTGTGTCAGGCCTCTGTGTCAGGCCTGTGTGTCAGTCGTCTGTGTCAGGCCTCTGTGTCAGGCCTCTGTGTCAGGCCTCTGTGTCAGGCCTGTGTGTCAGGCCTGTGTGTCAGTCGTCTGTGTCAGGCCTCTGTGTCAGGCCTCTGTGTCAGGCCTCTGTGTCAGGCCTGTGTGTCAGGCTTACATTACCGCGTTGGGTGGCCGGCACCTGCTCTCTCAAACACATGAAATTATAACGCAGGTATTATTACTACGAATTGTTCTATGTTCTCCGAGAACGCACAATACGACTGTTCATTGTACCTGTGTATTTTGATGTCAGTGATGTACTCAATATATCTGTTTACCTTTGACATCAGTGATGTAAGCAATCTTGTTGATTTTGGCATTAAAGACATACAGTCCGTTTATCTTTGCAATCAACAACTTACACAATTTAATTCTGACATTTACATATTTATAAATTTCTTAATCGTAGATGAATTCTAAGTGATAATTTCCAGCAGTCATCCGAGTTTATAATTAATACATTATGCACTCGGTTATCTTGAGGTTATCTTGAGATGATTTCGGGGCTTTAGTGTCCCCGCGGCCCGGTCCTCGACCAGGCCTCCACCGCCAGGAAGCAGCCCGTGACAGCTGACTAACACCCAGGTACCTATTTTACTGCTAGGTAACAGGGGCATAGGGTGAAAGAAACTCTGCCCAATGTTTCTCGCCGGCGCCTGGGATCGAACCAAGGACCACAGGATCACAAGTCCAGCGTGCTGTCCGCTCGGCCGACCAGCTCGGTTGACAAATGTGTCAGATCAACTAACTACACTTGATGAATTCCACCTTCAACTCTCCCCAAGAAACCTTAACACATACTTGAGGAAAAATCTTGCATGACGCATATAATGATTTGGTCTTGAATGATTTCTTTATTATAAGTAAAAGTTACAAGAATGTGTTAACGAAAGGGAGCCGGTCGGCCGAGCGGACAGCACGCTGGGCTTGTGATCCTGTGGTCCTGGGTTCGATCCCAGGCGCCGGCGAGAAACAATGGGCAGAGTTTCTTTCACCCTATGCCCCTGTTACCTAGCAGTAAAATAGGTACCTGGGTGTTAGTCAGCTGTCACGGGCTGCTTCCTGGGGGTGGAGGCCTGGTCGAGGACCGGGCCGCGGGGACACTAAAAATCCCCGAAATCATCTCAAGATAACGATTGGTTCTTTACCTCGCGTCGGTGTTCAGTAATGTTCAGTTGAATGTTGCACGAATATTTTATTTGTGTTCTGATTTTGTGTTTATATTTTATTGATATTCAATAAAATATAATAACTTTAATAACTTTAAATAATAACTTTAAATGTATTAATTGTTTATTATGGCGATATTAAATTAATTTAATTATGACAAGACACCAGGAATCGTAGGGCCAGAGAAACCTCTTAATATATTAGGATTTTCTTAAGTGTGTGTATTTACTATTTGTATTTGCTAATTGTGCCTGCAGAATCGAGGTGTTAGCTCTTGGACCCCGCCTTTCTAACTGTCGGTTGTCTAATGTAATTATTTCCGACCTATTTTTTTCACACACACACACACACACACACACACACACACACACACACACACACACACACACACACACACACACACACACACACACACGAGAAAGGCTGCGGGAAATACACCTCACGGCACTGGAAGATAGAAGAGTAAGGGGAGACATGATCACTACCTACAAAATTCTCAGAGGAATTGACAGGG